AGCACATACTAACCTACCTCATCCTTCTTTAAGGCTGCATAATATTCCACCGCATGAACATTCTGTTTCACCAACCATCTCCTGACCAAGGTGCCTTCATTTTTTTGCCTACAAACAATGCTATGATAATAAACACATTCATCTTTGTCTCTCCGGGTACTTTCTATCAGCATATCCAGATGATATTCCCTCAAAGGAAAATTGCTTGATTAAAATATGCTTTTAAGAAGTCTTACAGATACTGCCACACTGCCCTCCAAAAAGATTGCATCAGTCTACACTCCCAGCAACAGCGTATGAGAAAGCTTGTTATCTCACACCAATTGGGGGAATGATGGGAATGATATTTTAAGTGGGATGACAGGAAAATACAGGTCACAGCCTCGCTTAGGCAACTGCAACTTCCCCACATCTCCGTGGCACAGTGCCAAGCACAGGGTGGCCACTCAAGATCACCCATTCCAGACTCACCTGCTTAGCCCATGAAATGTGAAAAACGGATCCAAACAAATGGGTCATCAGCTGTACAGAAAAAAATACTAATGATGATATTGATGGCGACAGCAACAATTCTTAAGCCCTTGCCGTACATCGTATCCTAAACTAAGTGCTTTTTGTATATTATCTCATTCTTTTTTAACACCCTGTGAAGTAGATATCATTATTTTATAGAAGAAAACCGAGGCTCTGGGAGGTGAGGTTATCTTGCCAAGATAAACAAGACGGTAAGTGGCAGAGTGAGGATGCGAACCCAGCCCAGGCATGAGCTAACTCTGCAGCTCACGCTCTGAACCGCTCTGTTCTTTGGTGCTGCTGTCCCAGCCCTGCACCCCACTTCTGTCCCAGATTATTCTCTTACCATTACCTCTTCACATGAAAGACCTACAGTCATTTGGGAATAGGCTAAGCATGGGCAGATACAGCATTCACCTGGAGAAGATGAAAGATTTTGCCTTTGGGGCTTCCAAGCCCCTGGTTAGACATCACACACTCAGGAGAAAAAGCCCGGACTTATAAGTGACCAGAGGGGCATACTGAACCCGCACCTGGTGCCTCCTGTGTTGAAAGGAAGCCGAACCAGGCCCAGACAGCAACGTGGTACTACCACTTACGTTAGAATTAGCTCTGATATCTCACATCATTAATCCTCCTACAGCATGAGGCTTTCTCTCGAGAACCTTTTGCTGGTCTCCAAAACCATGAAGGCTTTTTCCATATGCAAAAATCTGGCCTCTGACGCTGGCAGAAAATACTTTTATGGGAGGGTGTAGGGTACCCAACCTGCCATATAAACAAGTTAATCATTGCCTTCTCAGAGGATCGTCTGGGGCCGTGCGTCAGAGCACGGACTGGTTACCAGGCCCAGCCATCTCTTCAGCCCACAATGAATCAGAGAAGCAATTCATGCTAACCCAGAGTCGGCTATTCTGTTCTTGTTTTAAGCTGGGGGTGGGAAATAGCATAACAAAACCAAGCCTACCTCCTCACAACCTCTGTCCTCCAGAAAAGTAAAAAGCGCACATGCAGGTTACCCCCAACGTGCCATCCAGTTTCTCTAGGCTGAGCCAAAGAAAGAGTAAAAGCTGAGTGCATTGAGTCCTGTAAAATCATGAATATGTGGACCTGGGTCAATGGAGAACGAAAGTGGGGGAGGCACAGTTTGCCCCTTCGGGGTACCCGCTACTTTTGGTGCCCATCTGCCACGGAGCTTCCCCACCCACCGTCTGAGTGTATCTCACGCAACCAAATAAAACAGGGTGAGCACATGCGGATGCCCTCAGGAGTGGACAGGGAGAGAGAGAAGCAGGCCAGGTGGGGGCCGTGGCAGACTGGAGAGCAGAGGCAAAGTTCAAGGCAGTGACTAGGGCGTGGCGGGTGAACAGGGGCAATGTCAACTGTTGCCAGATCTTACAAGTTTTTAAGAGAAGCGGGGCAGTGGCATCCTTCAAGCCTCACGTCTGGGCTCTAGCCTGACTCTGAGACTTTGAGGGCCCCTCTTTGCCCTCCTCAGACTGTACTGGGGCCACGTCCACCCCACATTTCCCATTCTAGAACCATCTGGGCACTTGTACCCTGGAATTTCCTGTCCAAATGGCCCTAGGAGAAACCCAGGTCTGCACACCCCCTCTAGCAGGGTTGCCAGATGAAACACAGGATGGATGCCCAGTTAAGTTTGAATCGTTTTTTAGTATAAATATGTCCAAAATATTGCATTACTTCTTGTTTATATATGCAATTCAAATATAACTCAGCTTCCTGTACTGCTATTTGCTACCTCTGGCAACTCTATCCCCCTCTCCCAGGTCCGTCTTCCTGAGAGAGGACCCACTGCTGGCCGACGGGTGACTATTCCAAGGAAGGGGCAGGTTCACGGGCACAGGGTCCCCATGAATGCAGATGGGACCAAAGGTGGGATGACAAAGAGGATTGGGCTGTGGGCCAGAGGCTTCTAGCTGTGCTTCTCACTGGAAATGGTGGGGGCAGGCCTGAAATGGGAAACGAAATCTGTAAGCATAACCTCCCAGTTTTTAAATATTCGACATACATTTTAAGCAATTCCAAATCCCTTTAAACACTGTTCAGATCAAACAGTCCACATGGGCCCTTACCTCTGGTATAAGGTCATTCCGACTATTCCTAACGGCTGTGTTCTACTCTGCATACGGCACCCACACCAACAAAGCCTGATTACACGTGAAGCCTTAACCCCAGCGGGTGGAGCAGGACAGTGAGCAGACTGCAGCATGACAGAGACACGTATTTTGCACTAGAACATCTGTCGGTCAACTTCTCTTAGGGGCAGCAACTGTGACCTGGCAACGATCCGTGTGGTATCAGCCTCCGCGGAAGGGGGCAAGGATAGCAACGCAAGTGGTAGGATGAGCTGCGGTCACAGAACAAGAACACTAAAGAGACGTCACTCACCTTTTACTCTAAATTCCTCATTTTGCAGGAGGTGGGATGGAGCCATGCTCAGAGAAGTTAAATGATTTTGCCCAAACCCACACTCTTGAACCCATCTACCAATCCCTAGCCCTCTGCTCTTCCTGCTATGTCGTGTGGCTTCTTATCTTCAGAGGGCAAAGAACATTCTTCCTTCCCCACAATGTGAGGGCAACAGCAAACTTGCTTCAAAATTGAGCTTCAAAAAAAGGGAGGGAAGGAGGAGAGAGGCCGGGGGAGAAAGAAAAAGGAAAATCTCCTTCCCCCATCTTCTCTGCTTTTGAAAACTAAGGAAAACAAACCACTCCAAGAATATAAAGACATACTCAAAACCAAGAGGGTAAGGAGAGCCTACAGATTGCTAGTTATGCAGGCGCTCTTCTTCGCTTGAAGTTAGGTACTAAATTTAGAACCAGAGAGCCCTCAAAAGATCTCCAAGGTCCTTAACCAACGCAAGCGCCCAATCTCCAAGTTTCCTCCCATTCACCAGGAGGCCCTGGGCTGCCAAGCCCAAGAGAGAGAACAGATGGCGGAGGCCAGCAGGAGGCGTTCCCCAGAGAGACTGACCTGAACTGGATAAAATATTGCCTGCAGGGTGGGGAGAGTCTCAGTGAAGAAGTGGTCCCAGACTTCAGCCAGAACCTCAATGCGATTTTCACCTACACGAGGGCGAGAAGATGGGAGGGGAGGAAGAAAGAAAAGAACTTGTCATTACTTGCAGGAGAGGCCACAAGACAGTTCCATGTAAAACGCGAAGTCGCACATGCTAGTAAACTTGCAGCCAGGAGCTGGTAAAGCCCAGAGAACAGAGATGTGGTGCTACAGGGTCTTTATCCCTGGCTAAGACCACCACAAGTTCTCAGGGCAGAAAATATATTTGTCTCGCAAGGATGCACATATGGATCGAAACTCACACTTGAGGAGAAAGATTCTAAGTGAGAGGAGTAGCATTTGGTGCTGGGGGCAGGAAGAGAACTCGTTGCCTACATTTGATCTACAAGGTGTTGCTACAGTAAATGTGGGACTGGGGGGGGGGAAGACACAACTGAAAATAGGCAAATATGCCCTTCTATCCCCCAATCCAGAAAACAGAGCTGAAATCTTAAAACCACATAGTAATTGCTATCACGTGAATGGTTACAACACTATCAGGCACTATGCTAAACTACTTATCTACAAGGTATCTCAGAGTAAGACTCTATTACCTCTGCTTTGCAAGCTCAGAGAGGCCAAGTAACTGCCCCAATGTCACACAGCTCAAAGGCAGAGCTGGGATTCCAGAACCCATGCTTTTGACTAACCTAATCTGGGAAGATCATGTGCACAGTTAGATACTGTTTTGTTTTCTTAATCACTAAGACACTGGCTTTGTTCTGGGTTTGAGCTGTCAGTGAAGAGAGGCAGAAAGGACCTTGGAACTGTCCCCTCCACTGAGTGCTTTACGGTAACTGGGAGAGCAGTGTTCTCTGGAAAGGCCACCTGCCAAACACAGGGCCACTTCCTGATACGGTCCCTACTCACCCCTAGGATTAGGAAGTCTGAGCTATGGCCAAATGCCACCCCCAGGCTAGAGCACACGGGTCACCCAATGCCACCGGAAGGCTGTGTGAGGAACTCCGCACCTCCAGGAAAGACGGGCCCTGGCGGAGAGGAGCCTGCACGCAGCTGCTGTTTAATGACCTAGATAGCAGAGCTGATACCGGCACCGTCTCTGCTCATCCCAGGCGGAGAAACTGGGTCAGCCAAGATTAGACTCAGAGAGATGCATTTGGCAAGACGCTGCCAGTTCCACTGCACAAATCTTGAAAGATGCATTTGGCACCTTCCGTCCATTAATTTAATGGGCACTAAAAAAGCAGGGACTGAGGAGAGAACAGAACAAGGGCATGACTAGTAGCCAGCAGGTCCAAAGACCTGCAGATTTTGAAAGGCCAAGGTGAAATACACCGGGGAAAAATGCCAGTCCATGACACCCGCTACTTCCCTGCACAAAGCACTGATCACAGTTTGTTGGAATTGTTTATTTGCTTCTGTCTCCTCACTAGAACGGGAGTAAGAACAGGGCCTCACGCATCCTGCTCACCGCTGTACTGCTGTGCTTGGCATGGTGCCAGGCACATTGATACATCAATCTTTAAAATTCTTTGAATGAATGAGTAGAAAGCACCATACAGGTTTTAGCAGATGCTGAGGGTGGTGAGTGGAAGGAGGTTACCATTTAATCCAAATATGGGACAGGAAAGTCTCTTGACTGTTCAAATTCCCCTACTACGAATTGTATGCTTAGTACTTGTCCCGCTTACAGTTTTATGTTAGGGATGATGTGATTAACATCTGTCTCCATGACCAGTTTGTGAGTTGCACAAGGGCCTGTGATCCTATGACAGTTCTGTCCACCACTGAGTCCTCAGCACCTAGCAAAGTGCCTGGCAGGTAGCAGATAATCGACAAAAGTTGGTTTGAATGAATCACCGTCCTCTTTCAAATGCAGGCTATGCTAGCTCACTGCAGGGAGAAGGTGGGGAAGTCAAGAGGGCCATCTGAAATGTTAGGTCACCGCGGTTCCTAAAACCAAGGTAAACTCAACACCTGGACAATGTACCCCAAAGGGGCAAAGGCTACTCCAGCTCCTTTGCTAATGGCCCTTATCTTAAGCCTTCCACAAGGACAGACAGGGGCCTTCCTGACCTGGAGGAGGGGGAGGGGAGAGGACCCTGCAGGCCAGTGCTGGTGCCTACCTACTCCCCCCTTCTTCGCCAAGATGGAAAGCTCATCGCACATGAGGTCATCCTAAAACCCGTCAGCAGAAAGGCGCCTCCCGGGAACCCAGGTCTAATTGCTGGCTGCAAACTTCAGAGAGTAATGGAGGTTTTGGAAAGTGTTCAGAGAAGAACATCAGACAGACCCAGGCTAACAAAACAGGTTAACCCTGGGGAAGAAAGAGTGAGAGGAAACAGGTGACTTCACTTCCAGAAACAGGCCACCAGTCAAGGACTTAGCTCCCTGCAAAGACGAAGGGGGGTTTGGATAGGAGGTTCTAGATGACTACCCCATAAAATCTGTCCCCTAATGTACCACAGGGGTTTAGATCACCAGAAGCACATAGGCAGGTGTAAGAAAGCTCCTAAGAGTCAAGGTCACTAAAGCTCTAGAGAAGATTGCTGGAGTTAACACGGCGTATCCTGCCCACAGGACAGCAACAAATGGATGTGGGCTGCCACCTGTCGTTTCTGCAGCAATAAATCAGGGAGTACAGATATAAACCAATACATAAACACATAAACGGATTTGTAAATATATAAACAGATATGTCAATAAAGTGAAGCTTATTCAGTGATCGGATAGAGCATATTAGTTGTTTCAAAACTTTATTTTATAGCAAGAGAATCCTTTTATCCAGACAAAAGTCTTCCTTGGAGTCCTAACACGTAAAAAAGTAGACATGTCTGGTTGAAGATGGGAAAGTGCCTCAAAGGTTCCCCATGTACCCACTCATTGTGCAGAAAGGACCCCAACACTCAGAACCCTGGGGCTAGAGGACACCCAGAGAGAATGCCCTGGCCTGGTGCTCTCTGGCCGCACCAGGTAAGGGGTGTGGACGCCTGGGTGGTCTCTGTTCGTCCAGCCAGCTCCTTCATGAGTTTTCACGCTGAGTCTATCTGCTGAGGGTCATCTGGATGAGAGATATTTAACTTTCCCTTTTAAGGGCGCTTGCATCTCTGGTATCGCTCAGTACTTTTTTCATAGAGCTGTTTCTCCACATTTCCAGGAGTAACTCCCAGATAACTTACACACAGATGATGTGACCAGGGACAATGCTTCCTTTCTCCCCTTCCCCAGGCAGCTGCCTTCCACATTTGGGCACTAGCCTGACTCCAAACTGCAGGAGAGCCACTAAGTTTCCGGTCAAAGCAAGTAGCCTAAAAACAAGACCCTTCCACTGACAGACACATGGGTAAAGAAAAGGCGGCATCACACACACAATGGGATATTATTCAGCCTTAAAACAAGAAGGCAATCCTGCCACATGCTATAACATGGATTTGAGGACATTATGTTAAGAGAAATAAGCCAGTTGCAAAGGGACAAATACTATAGGATTCCACTTATATGAGAGTAGTCCAAATCATGGAAACAAGAAGTAGAGTTGTGGTTGTCAGGGTTGAGGCGGGGGAAACGGGGAGTTGTTCTGTGTATGGGCATGGGGTTTCGGTTTTGCAAAAGAAAGTTCTGGAGATCTTTCACACAACAATGTGAACATAGTTAACACTTCTGAAGTATAAAATAGTTAAGAGGGTACATTATATGTGTTTTTTTACCACAATCAAAAAAAAATTTTTTTAAAGGCCTTGGGTTAGTGGGTATTCATAAGGTTTGGAAAAAAAATCACAGCATGGATGTATTCAAGGAAAAAAAGGCTGCGGGTTCAGCCAACTCTCAAATATGCAGAGGGGTTAATTTCTAACCTCTCTTCTTCCAAAGGTTTGGCGAGCATTTGCTGAGTGCCAGGCATTGGGACTTTCCACTGTCAGGTTCTCATTTTTCTTCCTCCTTTGTCTTTCTAGGAGCCACTGTACTGGACACTCGTCTCTTCCCCAGGGAATGGGAAGAAGAAAAGGGACGACATTTGGACCTACTAGGTGTGGGCCTGGAAGTGAGTTTGGCCTACAGAGAGAGGTCATTAGCTACAGGGAAAAAAACAAAGGAAGCAGTGTGCGTATCTGCCATGCGCCAGGTGTGGGGCTACACCCAACTATGCACCTCGTGCACCCCACAACCCCTCACCCCAACTTATCGCTTTAAAAATGATAAAAAACTGAGACTCTGAGAAATTAGCAACTTGCCGAAAGTCACCCAGGAAGCAGGTAGCAAGCTAAGACCAGGCCCCACTGGGGCGGAGCTAAGAGTAGCCCTTGGTAGAGTCATGGGCTTGGCCAGTTCTTGACTTTGGTACCCTCTCTCATCTCCATGCAGTTCCTTTCCATCCCGCTGGTTGGATTCTAAAATCTTACAAGACCAGGAAATTTCCCTTTAGCTATCAAATCATACCCCATTAAGCAGGTGTCTACTTAGCCTAATGTCCCCCTAATGGACAGGACTCCTGTCTTCTGTGACCCCAAGAAACATTACGAAGGCCCATAGGAAATAGCATGTGGCAGACCAGAGGGTGAGCACGGCAGGGTCCCCAGTATAACTCGGCCCTTCAGAGGGGACCGCCAGCATGCACCCCATGAAATGCCCCCTTAATGAGGTCTCCCAAGAAACCACCCCAATCCCACCTCATTTGTAAAAACAGTCTGACCCGCCCTGCCACGAGCAGCTGACTTCAAATCAAAGTGCTGCCACCTAGTTGGGGAAGAAACCGACAGGGCGAATCCCTCGCTTGGAGCCTGCCACGTTTGGACATTAGCGTCTGAGCTGTCCCAACATCAAAGGATGAGTCACAGAGGCCCCGATCTTTGAGGGCTGCCTGGTACTTGCCTTCACACAGCTTGATCTTCTCCTCCACAAAGAACAGTCCTTTTGCGAGAAGCTGGTTCTGCCAAAAGAGAACAGAGAACACAAGAGTTGGGCAGCTCCGGGGCGTGAGTGACAAGCCTTCTCCCACTCCCAACGGGCAAGGGCACGGGGTTCCAGGCACTTGTGTGCTAATGCTTCCCAGTTTGAGCAGCCTTTTGATCTCTCAGAAGGCTGAGGCCTCAGGAGAAGACAGTGAGACTTCCATAGCAAATGAGCACCTGAGATAAGAGCCCAACCCAACCGCCACCCTCCTCCCTCAAACCAGGGAAGAGGCATGACACCAGCTTGGATGAATTCACTACTGTTGACACCCAGTGTCCTTGGAGGCCCTTAATGACCTAAACTCACAAAAGGGAACATTGAGGCAATGGGAAATTATACAAAAATAATAGTTTTAAACATGATAAATGTTGGGCTTCTCATACTAGCATGAGAGAGACTGCATGCAAAAGCTTAAGCAGCAGTGAGTATGTGCCTGTCAATCAGCATGTGCTTGGGGAAGTTGTAGAAAGAGTAAAGTTATCTTCTCGCAATTGCAACTATCAATTGTTGAGTGTCCTGTGTGTATCATAGCCTTTGTAGCCTCCTTGTCATTTAATTCAGTCCTATCAGGTTGGTGCTATTATCCTCACTCAGTCAGTGGGGAGACCGGCCCACAGGAGACAGCTGGTCTTCCTAGTTCCAGAAACCATGTTGTTTCCATTCCGCTTTGCTGCCTTCCAGAAAGTCTTCCAACCCAGACCCTCTTCTTCCCCTGAAGGGCTACAGCCGGTCCTGTAAGACATGGGGCAGCCTCTCTGCAAGTCATAGCAGATCAGAGACCAGTGATGGGCTGGTACCTCTCCACCCATCTCACATTATTCGACTGCCAAAGGCCTATGCTTATGGGAGAGGCAGAAACAAAGGTGATATATATTTCACCACAAAACCTAAAGCATTCCTTAGCATTGTCCTTTATAAAACCCTGAAACCTTATCACAGTGATGAAGACAGCACACACAGCAGAGTGGAAGGAACTTGGGTATCAGACAGGGGGGTTCAAGTTCCAGCTCAGCTACATTCTAGCTATGTGATTTTGCAGTTAATTTCCCTTGAGTCCTAAGTTCTGTAAAATGGCATAATACTAGCAATACCATAAAGTTCTTGTAAGAATTAATCATTATAAACACACACACACACACACACACAGTATTTTACATGCTCAGTAATTGGTGGTGGTGGTAGCAATGGTAATGGTTACTATCTTGGCCCAACTTCTTCATAAAAGGAGTGCAAGGTAAAGAGTCAGTATTGAAAGGGCCGTTATCAAATGTACTAATAGAATATTTTATCAAAAGTACTATCACATTTCTATGACTGATACACATAAACCAAATTAAGATTCACAGATATGACCTAATTTTAAAAACTAATTGGCCGCCATGTAGTTTCAAGATGGCGGATGAAACCCCACATCAAAGTTAGAGTGACACTGTATAGGAATACACCAACTTTGTTAAAGAAAAACAAAAATCACAGACAGCTCAGTGGCTCAC